CTACTTCTTCCAAGTTTCTTCCTCTGGCGCAGATTCCCTCCCCGCACCTCCTCTCTTCATTCCTCAGGTCCACACATTCCAGACCCCAGGCACCTGGGCTCTAGTGATTGTCACATCAGCTGTCAACTGGTGCCCTGGCTACGTGGTCACTGCCTGACTCTTTGTCCTCCGGTTGCTGGAGATGGACCAGCCTGAGACTTAATTCTGATAGGTGCCTTCCTTGCATGGGCTTTGACCCCTGTGGAGGCAGGCCCCGGCCCTGCTCCGATGCCCACTTTTGTGCAGGTCCCAGCTGCCTATGGGTTACCTTTCCACGCCATCCACCACCTTCCTCACGTGGCCCTTGGCTGGCACTGGGTTGCAGGAAGGAAGATCTGCTTTCTGAATGATGCACAAGTGATTCGAATTTAAAACAAACCAAAAAACCCTTATGAGCAAATTGCTCATAGACCCTTGTCTGGAACTAGAGGGACCACGGGTCTGGACACTAAGAAGATGGTGATGGAAAAGAATGCTCAGATGAATAACCTGGTCTTTCATGTGGATTCTCGTGAGGAACGCCGGCCCTTCCTGGGTTTGGATGTTTAAAAAAAGAAAAGAAAAAGACGACTACTACTGTCCTTTCCTTCTTGTCTTCTTGCTCCTACTGGACTACGTAAAATAAGAGGACGGCACTCTTGCTTTTCCTCTGGAAGCTTGGTTTTTGTTTTGTAGTTTAATTTTCACTTTGTACTTTGTAGAAGCCCCTTAGGACCCTCTCCTTTACCTACCAGAACCCCACTGCTGGGGTTCAGAGTAGAAGGGCCCTGATGAAACGGAAGGTGACTCCTAGTTCTTCTTTCTAGTGTGTTCTTAGCTGGGAAGCTCTGCTGAAACCTGTTTCCCACGAGTGAGCCTGATGATCGATTTGAAGTATCACGAGCCAGTATGTCCCTTTGAGGACCGAGGTGTGCCTGACCCACCCGCGGTATTTTCAGTCGCCTTGCGTGCGTGTACAAGCCGGACAGTGAAGAGCAAGGCTGCAGAGGGCCGGATACCTCTGAAAGGATATTCAAAGTGCCCTGGGCCACCAGGAGAGCAAACCGATCCGTCTGCGGGGAAGCACAGTCAGAATGCCACTTAGAAGGGAGGACGACCAGACTTGGGATATGTTACCCGGAGAGGCCCATCCCTGGGAAAGGACATCAGGATGGATCAAGTAATGGATGGGCAACCACGAGGAACGGCCCTCCATGAGATGGATTGACCCGATGGCCACCGTGGGCTCAGACTGAGCCAGGACGGCACAGGACCGGGCACACAGGGTCACTGTGAGTCAGCCCTGACACAGCAGCAGCTAACAACCTGACGCAGGATACCTTTTTAATGTAGCTGTCGGGGGCGGTATGTGTGTGTGGCGGGGGCTGGGGGATTATGTAAGGATGACAGATGTGTTGGGCACCAGACCGCAGTGAACCACCAGGCTTTTGCCAGTCTTTTCATGTTGTCTAACAAATTAAATCAGGTGTTGGTGCTTAGGAGACATGCAAAGCTGTTTTCTCTGAAGCAGAACCTTCCCCCCCTCTAACTCATTATTCTTTTGAGGAGAGGATAGAGGAGGCATGTCACTGTGAGGTAATGTCTGGGCGAGACAGGCTGCTCTGTGGGGTCAGCACGGGCCCCCTTTGCATTTCACAAGACTTCAGAGAATGACTGTCCTTGGCTTGCTTTGAGGGGTGTCTGCCTGAGGAAGACTGGGACATAGAGGGGTGGCTTACTCACCTTGGAGTGACAGAAGTTAGATGGTAACTGCTGGAAGTACCTGTCGGGTCATCACATTCTCCGTGTCTAATCAGCATTTTCTCGTGTCCACCTCCCTTTGTCTCGACCTCTGTTTGTTTTAGTTGTTGTTGTTTTCTCCTCCCGCGTTTCATCCCTTGGCCCTTGTGTGTTTTTTTCTGACAGGGAACTAGGGGAACAGGAATAGCGAGTGGGTGAGAAGAAATTGCAAAGGAAATTTTCTAACTGCTGACCATTAATGTGGTTTAAAAAAATGTTGACTTCAGAGTCTTAACAGCATATATAATTTGTAAATCGTGTGAAAATAAACTGTAGATCCGCAGGGTTTTTTGTTTTGCTTTTACACGCTCAGATGGTGCCTCCTGGGACTGCTACTTTAGTGTAGGGTGTTATGGTTACGGGGCATGTAAACGGGTTGATATTTACCATAACCATTTGTCTTGAGCGGTCGGTCTTTTGTTGATGGTGAACATCACACGGGCGCGCATACCTCAGAGTGGGTCTTCTTTAGATTGCAGTCCTGTTCTCAGTGGGGCCCACACTCCACCCCCCACCTTTGCCTCGATTGCACTCGTGGGAGGGAGTCTTCTGCGCGGTACCCAGATTTATGGTCTTCTGCAGACCTGGGTTGTCTGCTGTTGGTGCCGCCCTTGTAGCCCCTTCTGAGGACGGTAGGAGATTACATTGTAGTTACAATGTGGACCTGAGGTCTGAGCGATCTATGTTGCTATGCTATACATTCTGGCTTTTAAAAAATTCTAAGTTGTATATTGACGTGATTCACTTATCATACAGTTCAATGGTTTAAACATATTAAAGATCAGTCATGCTCTTTGTTTAGTATTTTTGATTACACACAATCGATGTTTGTTGGCCAGCTGATACCTTTGAGTCATACCATTCTGTGGGCAGTTTTCCGAGTCATGAAGACCACTGTTACCATTGTTTTATTCTTCCTGTTGGTCTAAGGCAGCAGTTCTCAACCTGTGGACTCTTTCACAGGGGTCACCCGATTCATCACAGTAGCAAAATGACAATAATGAAGTAGCAACGAAAATAACTTTATGGCTGGGGGGTCATCACAACATGAGGAACTGTATGAAAGGGTCGTGGCATGAGGAAGGTTGAAAACCACTGCTCTAAGGTTTCCCCTAAGACAAGCAGCATCTCATAAAGTGGTGATGAGCTTGGGTTTTGGAGTCTGAGCGATTTGGGGCGCGGGAATCTCTCGTGATCACAGTTTAGTTTTCACATCTGTTGTAGAAAATTAGATAGAATGCCACCTACCCCATAGGGTTGCGGTGACTGTGAATGCCATTCTACAGCCAGAACGCTTGACGTGGTGGTTGGCACTGTATAGACACTCAGCGGCTGGTGGATGACAGAGTGGCCCTCCCTCACCCATTATCCCACCCACCTCCAGCTCTAGCCTGCATTTCTCTTAACGTCTGTTCTCTCCCTCAGGTTTGCAACCGTGCGATATGACCAAGGAGCCAAGTACATTCGGAACCAGTTCATGCACCTGACCAACTACAGTGTGAATAAGAAGAGTGGGGACTATGTCAGGTAGGGGCCGCGTCTGGCCCCGGAGTCTTGGCTGTGGCTGTGGTAGAGGTGGAAAGCCAATGCTTTGCACGGGAGGAGGGCTTGACCGTTCTCCGGTAACTGATGGAAAGCTGTCCTGATCATTTCTCAGAGCTTTAAGGCACAGCTCCGTCTGCTTCTCCGCAGCTGGCCCAGTTACACTGTTGCCCGTCTCTGCCGGAATGGACCCTACAAGTTCTGTCCTGTCGAGGGGCTTCCATTACTCACTGAAGCCCCTCAAAGCCACCCCCTTGCCCTCGAGTCCACTGTGACCCATCGCGGCCTGAGTCGAGCTGCCCCGGAGGGTTTCCAGGCTGAAATTTCTCGGGGAGCAGACTACCACTTCTTTCTTGTGCGGAGCTGTCAGTGGATTTGAACTGTCGGCTAGGCACTTTAGGCACGGTGCCACAGGGACCCTTATTTAACTTAGGGCTGGGAATGGAACAGGCATAGAGGGTACCTTTTGACAAGTCAAAAAAAAGGAGGTCCTTTCAGCACTGGGCAACATTTTTGTCCCCTTTCGCTATTAGTTCCACTTCTAGGATCGTCGCTGTCAGCAGTAATGCAGGCTCTATGCACAGGGTCAGAGAGAATTGTTTAATCCTACACAGGGCTAGGTGGAAATAGAAGCAACTTGACTCTTGCTTGACTCTGTATCTGTTGCTGTTGGCTACCGCCAGGTCCATTATCAGCTCCCAGCAGCCCCTTGGGCAGAGACGGGTTTCCCAGGGCACACTCTTCACAGGAGCCCACTCCTTCTGCCATGAAGCTCCAGGGCAGGCTTGAGACACACGAGCACGCTAGCAGCCAAGTGCGTGACTGCTGTGCCGTCAGAGCTCCTTATACTGGGGGCTTCAAAAAGTCCATGGAATAATTCCCTGATCTTTGAGCCCCATTTCCCCATGAACTTTCTGCAGCCTGCCCAGATCTCAGGCTCCTTTAGTTCTGCTGAGAGGGAAAAAGTAAAAAACCCCACAAAAACAGCAGCCCGTGCCAATGTGGTAACGCTGCTTAACGGTAGTGGGTGGGATCACGAGTGAGTGACTTTTCTTCTCTGTATGTTTTTACCAAATGTTCTAAAATAAACATTTGCATGATCAGCAAAAAAAAAAAGGGGGGGAAAATTAAAGAACGAAATGAGGCCATTTTGGCAAAGGGTTCATCGGAAAGGGAGTACCAGCCCAAATGCGTGGAAATGGTTTTTTTCTGCTGTTTTCTTTCATCCCAACAGTTTTGCCAGAAAATGGAAAAAGTGAAAAAAAGAAACCCAAACAGTTACTTTTTACTTAGTCCTAAAAATAAGTTCTTAGCAGGTCCAAAGAAAGGATGGCCTCTGGAGGCAGTGGGGCCGTTCCGCAGCTGGACGGGCTTCCTTGAGGGTCCTGTGACCGCCGCTTGAAGCCTCACTTCCTTCCCTCGCAGGAGGAGACGTGGGCGTGGGGGGTGGGCGCTGAGTGGTGCTCAGACTAGGCCACTGGTTCTCCACCTTCCGAATGCGCGAGCCTTTCATACAGTTCCTCGTGTTGCGGTGACCGCTTATGGGTGTATCTGCATGTGGGTGGACCCGCCTGCAGACAGATAGAAAAACGGTGTCTCGGTTCCTAAGACCATCAGAAATACAGTCTTAGGCGATTCCTGACCCCCAAAGGGGTCGTGACCCACAGCTTGAGAACTGCTGCTCTAAGCCTTAGAGGATGAGGGGCCAGCTGCAGAGCATAGGGTGCAGAGTGCAAGACTCCCCAGCATTTGCGGTGTCTGTCGGCCTCATTGACCACTCTGCTTGCTGCCTCGCATTTATGTTGTGACTGCAGTGCTTGCTCCCTTTGGAGATACCGCGGAAGGTGTCGCACCAGTGCAGCTCTGGCGACCACCACAGGGGGTGCTAGCGTCAGATGCTACAGTAGTCTCATGCCCGGGTAGCTCATTAAAATGCTGCGCAAGTTAGCTCATTTAGAGGTTGTTTGGTGGGCTCATGTGACATTGCCCTCCAAGGCTAGGTTTGTACCCCAAACATTTCAACCTGTCAGTTTATCTCAGTGTTTCGAAGTCTGTCTAGATCAGTGGTTCTCAACCTTCCTCATGCTGTGACCCTTTCAGACAGTTCCTCATGTGGTGTTGACCCCCCCAACCATAAAATTGTTTTTGTTGCTACTTCATCACTGTCATTTTGCTACTGTTATGGATCGGGCAACCCCTGTGAAAGGGTCGTTCGACCCCCAAAGGGGTTGAGACCCCCAGGTTGAGATCCGCTGGTCTAGCTCCTTTCTCTTTCCCACTCCTAGCTGATGCATAATGGTTGGACTGAGGAAGAATGTACCTTCCTCCCCCTGCCCTCCTCCTCAGTAAGGCAGGCTTTATGTGCTGTCATTTCCACCCAAGAGCTAAGCACCAGGGGTCCCTGACAAGAGAGACCAGGAGAAAGTGGGTGGGTGGAAGCCACTCAAGTGAGTATTTTGTAAAGACATCGACGGACTAGAAGGCTGTTGCTACAGAATGCCTCGTCCTGTGTGTGACCCTGATGCACTCATTTGTTTTAGTTGTGACGATCCTGAAGTGGAGGATTATGGGAACAAGTGGAGCATGAGCGCTATGCTGAGGTATCTGAAGCAGGAAGGCAGAGACACAACTGGTGAGTGCCAGGCCCTGCCCTTTGTCACAGCTCTTCTCCGTTTCCCGTCACCATTGTTTCTTCCAGGGATTGTGTCTCTAATGCTGGTGTGGTTGCTGAGATGTTCTGCTTGTTATTTTTTCCCTCTGCCAATTCCAAGAAGGGAAGCCAGCTTTCCATGACCCTGAAGACTTCTTTTCTTAGTTCTCGTTTGGAAGAAATAACCCTTTCCTTCCATCCTTCGTCAAGTTATCCTTCCTGAATGTTGACTTGCTGCTTAACGTACTGTCAGCTTTTTAGGTAACGAATTCCCTTTCTCCGTGTGGGCTCTGAGTTCAAGTTTCCAGCCAATCTCCCTCACTTGTGTTACTGAGCCAGAGAGTGAGGGTAGTGGAGTTTGTGGGGGCAAGGAGTGGAGCCCAAATGGATGCCCCTGCTGAGCTGTGGGCAGACAGGGAGCCGTGTGCCCCAGGGCTCTGGCCCTGCCCACGAAGGAGAGGGTGATGAGGAAAGGAGGAAAGCCAGGCTCCTTTTCCATCCAGTGCCTGCCCCTGGTCAGAGGAGACCACCCCATTCTTGGCTGTGTCACTGATATGCCTGGCCCCGGAGCACCCATTCCGAGGCCTGCGACCTAGAGACCCTTTTGAATCAGCACACGTGTTTTGTTGTAATAACTTTGATCCATGCACATTAGTATTTCTCCTTTCTTATTTGCAGCCCTGATGGCCCACGTGGAAGACCTAATCATCAAGACGATTATCTCGGCCGAGCTCGCGATCGCCACGGCCTGTAAAACCTTTGTTCCCCATCGCAGCAGTTGTTTCGGTAAGGAGACTCAAAAAGGTGACGGTGTTGTGTGGGTTTTCTTTTGGCGAGAGTTTTGGGAGATCCGCCTGGGATTGTGGAATAGAGAAGCTGAAGGGTGCTCTGGTCATGCCGATGCCGTAGGCGGTCTGTGGTGTACTTTCCTTGCTTGCGAAGCTCTCGTCGCAGATAAAGCGCCCTCTGAGAGGCCAGTGGTGAGTGTGGCTGGAATTCCCCTGCTCTCTGTGTGGGAAGCAGGGGCTGGAGCCCCAGTGTGAGTCTCGCTGCCGGAGGGAGAGCGATCAGCAGAAGCCTGCTGTGGATGGTACAAGAATTGGGCTCTGACAAATGTATTCCAGAGCCCTTTAGCATCCAGACTGGGAATGGTTCCAAGAAGCTCTGCCTGGTACTAGTGTATGCTTTCTCCCATTTCCTGAGGACACCTCCTTTTTGTGGTCGTCCTCCCACCCTCCCGCCTCTTCCTCCTCCTCCTCTCCTTTCCCAACTCCCCACCCCACGCTTCCCATCCGGCCCCACCCTCAGTTCCCTGATTGCAGAGAGAGGAGTAATAAACAGTTCATGATGACTAGATCAGAAGATGCATTGCCTACTGACCCAGTAGCTGTGGCTGCAGCAGTGACGGTGGCTGGACACACATGCCCTCTCTGTGGGCACAACTGCCAGTGTGTGTGCCTCTAAGACCCACAGGCTGGCAGCAGGTGTTAGGCCTTGGGAGTCTGACCCATCCAGGTGCCCAGTGGGGAGGGTAATCAAAGCACAGGATGGAATAATGCAACCCCCCCACCCCCAAAAAAATAACCAAACTCACTGCCCATCGAATCGATGCTGACTCTTAGTGACCTTTGAGTTTCTGAGACTGGAAGTCTTTATGGAAGTCGAATGTCCTGTCTTTTGCCCTCCCTCAGAGGAGCTGATGGTTTCAAACTCCTGCCCTTCTGGTTAGCAACTCAACTGGTAACCACTGTACCACCAGGGCGCCTTGGGATAATACATGGAGTAAGGATCTAAGAGTTACAGCCTCACTCGGACAGGAGAGCAGGAAGGAAGGAAGGAACATGGGCTGTGAAGCTTGACAGACTTGCGTTTGAAACCCACTTGCCTCCTGTATTGGCTCTGCGATTTTAGCTAGTGACTCTCATTAAACAAGGACAGTAAGGATGGCAGCACCTGCCCCCTAAGAGTAGCGTGAAGGCTAAGTGAGGCGGTGCAGGTAGAGCATGCTCTCTTTGTTATTTATTATCATGACACACTACGGCTATCTGCCCCGTGCATGTCAGGACCCTATATGCTCGAGGGGCACTGAGCAAAGGGAACCTTTGAGAATCTGGACACAAAGTGATAGGTAGACCAGGGCTGACAGTGTATCACAAAAGGAGAGGTGGTGCTTTTGTTTTACTTTCGGGAAAATCTGTTCATGCCTTCCAAGACCATTAAACCCTTCCCTAGGCCTAAAAATTACAATAGGACCTTGAGTGACCTTCAAGGCCTCTGAGGATCTGGCCCCAGCTGACTTTTCTAGAATTCCGTTTCTCCTCTTACAACTTTTCATCCAGCTATGATACCGTGCTGTAGTGGGAGCACTGCGCGTATGTGTGTGTGTGTGTGTGTGTGTGTGTGTGTGTCTGTCTGTCTGTCTGTGTGAGTTGTGCTGTCTGCCTAGAAACCGGGCTTATCTCCCAAGATTGCCTAGTCGTGGCCTCCTCCCAGAAGCTGTGCTTGACAGAGTGCCCTGCTGCGGCTCCTCCCTTCCTGCCCCTCTCCGTGTCGTGGCCTACTTTTCCGATCCATGTGGTCATCTGCTTGCACACATGCTTCCCCACCACGTGCTTGCTGAGCATGTCTTCATGAATTCTGCATCGTTACTGTGCTCCTTGCCCACCTCGTTCCCTTTCTGCCTACCTACCTCCCTGGGCCTGCCCGGGACCATTTACCTTTGGTACCTGCTCTTCTCCTTCTGAAACACTGTTCTCTTGTGACTCCACCTGAGGGATTACTGGCGGCGTTGAAGACAAAAGTCGAGAATCCCTTTTTGGTGAAGATATTTCTAAATCTTCCAGTTCAAGTAAGCCACCCCACCCCTGCCTCCTGCCTCCCATCCCAGGGCACTGTTCATGACTCTGCAGTAGCCTCTGGTGCCTGTCTGGCTGCCTGGCTTCCCTCTGGACTGGAAGTTCCTTGAGGACAGCAGCAATGCCCCTGTGGTTTCTGCCCCACCCCCCTGCACACTGACACCTTTAGCTCCTCGAGGATATTTAGGAAATGTTTGTTGAACCAACAAATGGAACTTGTTGTCATGGGTTTTCGGTGGCCGGAGGGTGCCAGGAACAGAACTCCCAGCTTTTAACGATGCTGTCAGCTTAAGATGAACAAAAGTTTCCTGTCCACGTCGACTTTGTTTTATGGTAAATTTGAGTAGCCCTTGATAGAAAAGCCTTTGTTTTAGAAATAACCACAAAAGCGTTTCCGATGTTTCCCTTTCCCTTTCTCTTTATTACCTGGTTGCCTTTTGGAAGCCCAGGGATCTTGTGGGCCCAGCGAATATTCCCATGTGAAATCAGCAGGGACTTTCCCTGATTGAGCGGAACGCCCCTTTTCAGCCCTTCCGACTCTCGTTCAGTGTCATAAACCAAGTGCATCTGGAGTTTCTTAACTTGTTGACTGTCTTCTTGGCTTTTGTGGTTCCGATCCACTTCCTGTCAGCCTGGGATGCTGTGTGCTTCATTAACCTCTCCCCATCAGACGAGAGAGAGAGACAGAGAGAGAGAGACAGAGACAGAGAACACACCACACCTCTTTGCGCTTCCTACTCATTCCTATCCTCCGCTGGGAGTTAGGTTAAAAGGAATAAGCTGGGTGTTTTTTGCTTGTTTGTCCTCATTTGTTTTCGGGGAAACAGGAATTGAGAACGTCCCAAAAGATTTCAACTCAAACAGAGCCTTGGTGCTAAAGGGAAGCAAGTGTCCCGGGATAGGGGTCACTACCTTCTTCCAGCTGCTTCTTGCCTTTCATCTTGTGGGTTCCATCTGCCTGGAGTCTTCCATTACTCTCTCTGCTTTCTGCCCTGCTATTTTCTTCCCCACCCTACTGCCTATAATACCCAGCAGGCTTCTGGGAACCATCAGTGTTTCCATCCATTTGTTTGTTTATGCATTCACCTAGGCACAACATTTCTCTCTGTGTCCAAGGCATGTTGTTGTTCGGGGCCATCAAGTTGGCTCTGACCCATAGCGACCGTCTGCACAACAGAACGAAACTGCCTTGTCCTGCGCATTCCTCACAATTGTCCTTCTGCCCGAGCCCATTGATGCAGCTACTATGTCAACCCATCTCGTCAAGGGGAGGGTGAGGACCTTCCTCACTGTCGCTGCCCCTCCGCTTTACCAAGCATGATGTCCTTCTCCAGGGACTGGTCTCTCCTGACACCATGTCCAAAGAATGTAAGACGAAGTCTTGCCATCCTTGCCTCCTCTAAGGAGCTCTAGTCTTGCTTCTTTTAATACAGATCAGTTTCTCCTTTTAGCAGTTCGTGGTACTTTCTGTATTCTTCTCCAGCACCATAATTCAGATGCATAGTTTAGTCTTTTTCAGCCAGTGCTTTGCCACCAAGAGGGTGTTCCTCTCAAAATTTCACTCAGACTAATATATACACAGACATGCACTATATGCTTAGTGTTTAAATGCCTTCACACTCCACACAGAACTTACCCATTTCACCGTTTCCCATTCGGAAAGGACCTCAGAGAGCGGTTAGTTTAGATAAAGAGCTGCCCTTTGACATATGGACCTTTGCCCTGGGTTCTAGAGCAAATGGGGGTACAAACTCCAGGGAGAGCCAGCCTTCAGATTTCTGTTCTGCAGGCACCGAGCTTGCAGACAAAGGGATGTGATGGGTTTTGGCAACTGAATCATCTTGGTCATAGGACTCTTGACTCAGAATATGTGATGCTTCCAACAAAACAGATTTCTGACTATCTGATTTTTTTTATTGCCTTCCAAGATAATAAATATATGCTTAAATAGCAACCTTTTAATTATGCTTGGGAAATTGGCACTGTGAGCTCACTGACTATGGGAACAGCTTTTTTGACCAGTTGAAGAAGAATGCAGCCAAAAACAACAGGATGCTATTTGTCCTTTAAAGATGCTGCTGCTGCTGCTGCTGCTGCTGCTGCTAATAGTGCTTTTATCTGTGTGTGTCACGACGGCTGAAGTGATGGCCTGAATGGCCCCCTGTCCTTTTCCACTTGGGCTCTTGGGGAGCAGCTGGGCCCACCCAATGGTAGAATTGACCAGATTGGCCCTGGTCGGGTGGTAGATCCGTGCTGTCTTGGCCAAGGACACACCCTGCCCAGTTCATTTCTCTGTGTTGCAGGAAGGCTGGTTTGCCTGCCTGTTGCTATTCTCGACTGGGTGGCAGGTAAACTGTCAGAGGGATAAAGCATGACAAGTGCACATCCTCCCGGCCAACAAACAGTAACAAAGAGTTTGTTCCTGTTTAGAGATGGCCTCCTCCTCTGGTTTCCCGCCACCCTCCTGTTACCTACCGGGGCAAAAGTTGACTGCAGAGCACACTGACATCAGAAATGCTGACTGTGTGTTAGACATTTTGCATCAGCTTTTTAGGCCTGTCAGCACTTTTGTTGGTAATTATTACATAGGTTCTATAGACAAGGGAAGTAGAGGGAGATTCAGAAGGGTTAAACCTTTCCCCTTGAAATGAATGAGCAAGTATGGAAGCCAGATACATAGACCGTTCCCTCTGGTCTTGCCCACTCACAAGAAGCCACTTTCTGATGAGGCCGGCACTGTGGCATATCCTGCATCCTCCCACGGCATTCCTGTAACTGGCTCTCAGGGAGACCGTTGTCATCCTTTGTAGCAGCTCCGGCCTAAAAAGGACACTCTTTCCGGCTCTGGTCAACAGCAGCTCGTCCTAGCGATGCCATCCAAACTCGCCTTTCCTGTGGTCGCCCGAGACTGGGCTGTGTCATTTTACACGCCGGCTCTGGGCTTTTTGGTTTTCTTTTGTTTTCAGCTCCTTTTCCTCTTGGTCTGCTTCTTTCCCCAGATTCTCCTGAACTCTGGCTGAAGACATCCTTCTTAGTTCCCAAATGACAGCCGAGGGCAGAAGAACGTCCTTGGTAGGATAGCCGTGGAGTGCCACCACACTGCTTGCTGAGTCCTATCAGCACGCCCCATGGGCTCCGGGCCACAGCCCAGCGGCCGCGAGGACCTGATTTCCGGGGCGGGTGGTAGACTCTTTTCAAAGATGAGTGGTGCGACCTGGTTATGTGTGGCCTGTTACCTCCCCGATCTACTTAGGTTTTTTTCCCCCTCCTAGGCTAACGTGAATCAGATTTTTTCTTCTTCTCCTAATACGTCCTAATATGTGAAATTCTTTTTTTTAAAGTAATTTTTCTGGCAAATTGGGTGACGGTGTGCAGAGCAGATGACCAGGTTTGCATTCAGCAGTGCGCTCACATCGTGCTTCAGCTCGTCCATTGCTACCCCCTTGGTTCCTCCACTTCCTACCTGTGGGATTTTGTTTCCATCCCTCCTTTTTTTTTCTAGCCATGTGACCTTTGACCCTCACGAATGTTTCCCTTGTGATGTTTTAAATTTAATTTTATTTACCTGTTTTCCGTTTTGGTCTTAAACGTGACAGTGAGTTTAGTTCCAGACCTGAAAGGTAAGGACCATCGTCTTGGGGGTTCCACCAGTCTCTGTTGTACCAGTAATCCTGGGATCCTTTATGACTCTGAGTTCTGTTCCCAACAGTTTTCTCCTACTCTAGGCAGAATGTTCTAATGCAGTTCTAGCTGGTGTAGTAACCAGGTCCTATCTAGTTCTTCTGGTCTTTAGATTTCCCACACTCATTTCCTCCTGAGAGTTGTACCTTAGATGGCTGCGCACAAGGTTTTACGACCCTGGTCGATCCTCAGCCAAGTAAGATGTAGCATCGTTTTTTGTGAGCTATGCTCTAGTTGACAAAGCCTGTTGACCTTGGTGTCCCCCCAAGACCATGGTCCCGAGCCCTCAGACCCAGCAGCTCCTCCCCTGAGGTGCTTGATGATTGTCTAAGGAGTTTTCATAACTTTTCCCACTGGACCCTCCCCCACATTCATGGGTCTGTTTACAGTGAAGGTAAACACACACACATATATCCTCTGTCAGACCTTCTCTGGGTTTGCTCCTACACTCCCTCCCATTACTTGTCCAGCTTGTAAGTTTCTACGGTAGATCACAGTTTTTGCAGGATTGTGTCCATAACAGCACGTGCCTCTTAGACCCCTCCCACCCGCTCCCCCCACCCCATCATTGTTTGGCAAACTCCCTCATATTGTACACTGCCCTCTCCTTCAGCCCAGAGACTCCCTTTCCCCTCTGTCCCTCCCACCCCTGCTAACAATCACCGAGTGTTGCTTTTAGTTGACTTTTCACAATAGTGGTCTCGTGCAAGATGTGCCCTTTTGTGATTCACTCATTTCACTCAGCATAACACCCTCCAGGTTCACCCGCCTTGTAATCCACTATGCCGCCAGAGTGAGGATTATTATAAGGACCCACAGTTGCCTGCCAAGGACACAGATTCTTTTTCCTCCGCTTCTCTTTTCCTCCGGTTGCTCTCCCCGTACACCAGGCTCCTCGGGGAACTGGTGCTGTCCTGCTGTCCGCGTGAGTGTGTTCTCGTCTCCCACTCTCCGGCATTCGTAGATTCAAGCCCCAGCCCAGGCACAGTCGGAGTAAAGAGTCGCTACTTGGTTTTGAAGCCTGGGCACACTCCACCAAGATTGTGTAGCAGTCAGATGTTACTCACCTGAGTGAAAACCAAGTCTGGCTTGTGAAGGGTGTTCTGTCTCTGACTCTCTGTGTCGTCGTTGCTCCTTATTTCCCCCCAAATCCTGGTTCTCAGCCTGTCATCTGAGTCTCCAAAGTTGTCTCTGAGTTGGGGAACTATTTAAGTGAATAGATTGACCGCTCAGCGTGGGAGACGTTTCAGTAGTCGGCCTCCCTGACTGCGATTTTAAATGCGCCTCTGTTTTGTGTCTGGCTCTGCAGACCCGTACGGTGTGTGCATTCATTCTTACTTCCATCCTGATCGTCATACTATTATTGCTGTTAGCAGAACCACCCGGGCAACACTTGAATACGAGGACTTAACTTGTCAGAACCAAAGTCTGTGTTGTTTCTCTCGGATCAGATGCACCATGTGTCATCGTTCTTAAATAGCGATACAGACTGCAACGAGCTTAAAAGCTATGCATTTGCTTCCAAAAGAAGAGAGGTGAAAAGAGCTTCCTTCCTTTTGCATGTTAAAGATCACATGCGACTTTTATGTAGATACCATCTCAGATTCTTCCAGAAGTCATGATTACATTTGATTCAACAGAATCCTAAATAATCGCCAGGGAAGCCAATTCATTCTTGGACACGTTTCCCTGAGGGAAATGAGACTCTGCATGTCTGCTTGAACCCATGTTGCCTGCGTAGGAATTCTGGACATTGGGTTACTGAGCCTCCGGGTATTGGCCAACAGTGACTATAGAGAAGGTAAAGGAAACCATTGGATGCCAAGGAAACCCCAGAGAGACCGGTGTTTTCTCAGGTCCCACCGGGAATGATGGTAGTCACGAGAAGGGCCCAAGGTCTCGACACCCATTCTAGGCTTCTTGTTGCTGTATCACATGACTGCAGAGAGAGTCTTTGAGACCAATTTTCCGATGTTTTGTTTTCCTACATTTTTAAGAGGATGAGGAAATGACAAAATAAATAAGGAATCCTTCTTGCAGTAAGGCAATTTCATTCAAAATAGATTTCTGTGTGCTGTGGGTGTGAACTCGGGTCACACCTGTAGGGAAACTATTCTCCTCTCTTGGAGAGAAGGTCTGTAATTTAAAGTGTAAGACACGGGTGGAATGCTTTGGAGTGTGTGTGGACCCTCCGTGAACCGTCTGTTTTGTGTATGCGTGCTGGGGAGGACTGCTGAGCAGCAGCCATCTCTGCTGAGAGGTTCTCCTGATGTTTGCCAGCAGAAGCCTCAAATTGAGCTGCTCTTCCAAATCTGTCTAACACAATAGAGCCTTCTTGGATAAAGGCTACTTGTGCTCCTTGGTCTTGCCCATGTAGCAGTCAGGAAACTAGAGGGAGGGCATCCGTGCAGAGTCCAGAAGCCATGGACGCTTGGTCTCCGGCCCCCTTCCTTTTGGATAGTGTTGTGCAAGATGGCTTGTCATAGTCCTCCCGCTCTGCCACCCCTGGCTCCCTCCTTTCTCTTCTGTCTTTGTTGTGCCAAAGTTGTTTATTTTCTCCCTTCCAAAGGAAATGGAAACCATAGGAGCCGAGAAAGAATAAATATCTTTTACACTTAGATGTCTTCTTGACTTAAGTTCCGTCGTTCAGCATGGGGTGGGGTGGGGGCAGGGGGAAGCGTGATGGGGAGGACAGTCCAGAACGAGCCCAAAGCAGCACTGAAATGGCACATGCTACCTTAATGATATTTTTAAGATTTTTTTTCAGCCCATAAGTACAGGAGATTCACACCATTTAACTGGTCCAGGGTCAGCTTGCCAGCTGTGTAGAATTCAGCAGCATCTGTAGTCAGTGACAAAAAAAGAGTACAATTTTATAGCGTCGTTATTAACCCTGGAACTCTGTTAGCGTCTCCAGAATTTGAAAGTCTCTCTGCTTCTCTTCCCTCTCACTACTTACTCTGGAGAGTTTCTGGGCCTCTGATCGGAGCTATTGCAGGGACTCTTCCCAGATTTGCCCTGGGCTGGGACATGGAGAATGATCTTGTGTGTTGTGTTGTGTTGTATTTCCAGAACTGTATGGATTTGACGTGCTCATCGATTCTGCTCTGAAGCCGTGGTTGCTGGAAGTGAACCTTTCTCCTTCTCTGGCCTGGTAAGTCTGTTTCACCAACGGGAAGAAGAGGACACACCTTCAGAGAGCAACACTGAAACATTGGGAGTGTGTGTGTGTGTGTGTGTGTGTGTGTGTGGAGGGGGGGGGATCATGTCTCTTAGGGGATTTCTTTCCTCCTTCCCTAGTTAATTGCTAGGGATTCCTAGAATTTTTATATTTGGGTGGGGGTGTATGTTATGATATGTTGTCAAAGTCGAAATGGTGATCAGGAATCCTCAGTCAATTGATAATGAATGTTTTCTGCCCACTGAGCTTCTACGTGATAGTTCCTGCATTCATTTTCACTCCCAGTTTAATAGTTTTAATTTCTGTCTTCTGCTAAGGCCAAGGAATATATAAGTGTTACAGCCCCTTTACTTCCAAAGGTTTGTATAAAATCAAATCCACACAGGCTGGGAAACCATGGAGGAGCTGGAGCTCAGGTAGCATAGGTAAAATCTGATCCTGCTGCCATGCCCCACGGTCCTGGTACCGAGCCAAGATTGAAGTATAAAAGCTTCAGCACTTTTTTAAGGAATTTTTCTTTTAAAAATTTTTAACCAACCTGTTGTTTAGAAGAGGTAATGGACTCTATTGCCTAACGACAGAAAGGATTTCTGCCCATATTCTCAGTCACAGCCAGAATTTCTATTAGTGACGCACTCATCTGAACAGAGACGCTTAGAGATCGAAGCCAGAGACCACCCAGCTGCTAAGTTGTAAGGATGAAGGCTATTGGCAAAAGGCCAAGTCATCAAATCCAGACAGATGGGCTGCTCTGTGGAGGTGCAGGGTGGTTTACCACCTGAGTGGTAAGGTAGAGCAGGGTCCTGCAGACACTTCAGGTGCTGTGTTCTACTCTGGTCAAGCCGTCCTTCTGCAGATGGCCCGGTCAGGTACATTCTCCAGTGCAGCCCGTGAGAGCCAGCACTTCGTGGGGCTGCCTTGTTTCCCAAGGCGAGACCTCACCATGTGAAGCGGGAGATATTTGGCGTTTCCTTCTCCCGCAGATTTCCGTCAGACACGGGTTCTGGCCTTCACAGGTTTTCCTGTACGCTGTCAGAAACCCCAGCATGAAGCGCGGGCCACCAGAGCCAGCGTAGGCTAGTTTCTGGAGGAGCCCCTCAACACAGAAGCCCGGATGTGCTGGCGCTGCCCGAGGCGGGTGCTCTGCCTTCTGCCATGCTCTCTCCTTGTGGTCTCCTGCTGCATCACCTGCTGGCATTTTGGTGGTGTTTGCATTCATTCATTTTATTTTAATTTTTTCCCTCATTTGCAAGACGAAGAAGATTGAAGTAAACCAGAAAATGAAGAAGACAAAAAAAAAAAGCTAAGATGGCCAGAATTTCCTCTGTTACCTGTGAATTTGTCTATTAATAGCAGCCATTACAAAACATATTCAGCTGGGTGGCAGGCAGTCATAAAAGAGCTCGTGAAAGGGTGACCCCCAGCGCTGTGACTGCCTACGGGAGGACTCGGGAACGAGTGCCCGGGCTTGAGTTTCTGGTGGGGTTGCCTGGGTGCCTGTGTTTGTTGGTTTCTATGCCACCCATGGATTTGATATGCGGTGGGGTCGCTCCGTGTGCCCTTTTAGAAACTTTACTCCCCAAGGGACCCGCTCACGGGCAGCAATTCTTGTAACCTACAACATTATCAAATTGCCTTCTTACTCTGTTCTGTTAGCGACGCACCTCTGGACCTCAAGATTAAAGCCAGCATGATTTCTGATATGTTCACTGTTGTCGGTGAGTTTCAACTAATGAACTAACTAACCGTAACATCAGTTTTGTCCGTTTCTACAGAGATCGCCAGCTAGCTGCTCCTGAGCCATGCTCAGTGTTTAGTACTGAAAAGAAATGTGATGTCCAGGGAACTATTTATATATTTTACTCCTCCAGGCTCCATCCTGTCCTGAGGCTGAGACCTGGGGCACAGGAGATAGGAACCAAGGAAGAGAATTACAGAAGCAATGATCCAACAGTCTGGAGAAAGTCTATTTGTCTCCAAACAGGGAAAGCAAAACCCACTGAAGAAGCCTTGTAATGAAGGAGATTGGCCACAGCTAGACAGTCTGCTGGTCTCCATGTGAGCCCCTCTGTAGTAGTCCAACTGGAGCAGCTCAGGGAGAAAGAAATCCCTTCTTGAGTGGATAAGCCCATACTGTGGAGTGGAGTTGAGCAGTCAGGTGGATATGTCCTGGGTTTTGTTTTTGTTTTGCATGTGAGTGTTTGGGTGTGTTTGTGTACTGTTTAAAGTACACTAGAAAGAAAGACTAAAATAGATTTGAAATGAATCTCATGCTTGGCGTACCTACACATGCTGTACAAGGTTGCTGCTCCAGACTGCCTCGCGTGGGAATGCCCCCTTCTAGGAAGTACCTGAAATAAGTCACAGCTCAGTTTCCCACCGCAGATAATCCACAGAGCCGGCTTTAGAAGTTGCTTTTAGATCACTGTCAGCAGCTCCAGCAGTTGAACGTGCAGACGGACAAGGCCCCTCACCTACTTCGGGATTCCCCAGTCAGCATCTGGGAAGCCACTTTATAATCACTCACTGTTCAACAACCACGGGTTTTGAAATGGTGGCTGGCACTGTACTCGTGCGTTTATGAAAAATCCAAGTCCCTTTTTCAGGGTCACCTTTTGGGCACCAGCCAGTGAGGCTGATTGTTCTGTCCCCTTGATGGTGGGTCACCATTCAAGCAGAGAGAGAGAGAGAGAACGCGCGTGAGAGTGGGGGGTGTGTTGTGTTGTATTTCCAGAACTGTATGGATTT